CCAGTTGTCTATCACTGTACACATTTAAGAATAAGCCAGGCAACAATTTGGTGAAAGCCAAGGTCTGAAATGTCTTCCACTGTAGAAAAGTTACAGTGAAGCCTAGAGAGTTATTGAAGGGAGAGTTTTAATCAAATTTTAAAGCAAATGATCAGCTTACACCCACTCAAATCAATCCAAACTTACGCGTGGGGCACTTTTTTTCTGATAGGTGTCTATATTAATAAAGAAGGATGAGAGGGCATGAAGAACAGCAGGAAAATTATATAATTGCCCATTGTAATTTTCTTAAAAGTCTTACCTGAAAAAACATACATCATAATTAAGGCATCTGGCTTGCATTTAAGAAAATGCTGGAACAGTTCAATTGCTTTGTCCCCCAACACTCTAAGAATTTTTTCTTGTCATTGTCATTATTATATTACTGAGAAGTGTTATCATTATTGTAGATTTTTTAATATCCCAATATGGAAGGGGAAATAAGCTCTGCACCTTCAGCTTTCTTTTTCATTCACACTGTATTGGAAAGGGGAGATGGGTCAGAAGAGAGTGTAGGTAATCCAGGGCAAGGGGTCATGTAAATACCCAAGGAATAACCATGCATTCAGCAGTGCTTCAAGCAGGCCAAACCCTTTCCATCTGACAAGTTCCCAGTGCCCTCCCTTGAGGATACAGAACCTGGGGAATGAGCAGCTGTGAGGCTGAGGAGGTGGCAAGGCAAGCTGACAGCAAAAGCAGAGCATGCGGTTAGTGGGTGAGAATGTACTAGGGGAAGAAAACTGGCACAGGAAGATGAGACTGAAAAAGGCCCACAAGTTACATTCTGAGAAGGCAGCCCAGGATATTCTATGAGCTGGATACAATATACTCCCAGATGTCTCCTTTGTGTTATTCATCTACAGCCATGGTTCTCAAACATGCACATGCATATGAATTACCTGGAAATCTTGTTGAAATGCAAATTCTGATTCAGTAAGTCTGGGGTGGAACAAGAGAGTCTGCACATCTCACCAGCCCCAGGTGTTATTCATATTTAGGGTCTGCAGACCACACTGTAAGTAGCAAGGTACAAGATCATGACTGACAACTGTGGCCTGCAAGATAAATTTGGCCACTTGCCTGCTTTTGTAAGTAAAGTATGGCTGGAATGGGGCTGGGGATTTAACTCAGTGGTGCCGCCGCCTGTCTGGCAATCACAAGGTCCTGAGTTCGATCCCCAGTACCAAAAAAAAAGTATGGTTGGAATGCAGCCATGCCAGTCACTTACATATTGTCCATGGATGCTTTTACACTGTGACAGCAGAGTAAAGAAGTGGCGACAGAGACTTTATGCCCCACAAAGCCTAAGACACATTTACAATTTGGCTTTTCACAGGAAACTGTTCTAAACCCTATCCTGGAGAATACTTAGTATTGAAACTAAGAAAAAAAAGAGGAAATGATATTGTATTTGGATGAAGAAACTTATATTATGCTATGAATTTCCATTAATAAGAGGAAAGTTTGACAACAAAAAAATTGATCATTTTCATAGAAACTTAAAGAGTCATAGATTGTCTATAAATGAATTGAAGAAGAAACATTCTAAAATTCCATGGCTCTAGAGCAGATGCCCTACTCTCTCAAAATATTATAGAAGGCTGAAAGAATAACTAGCAAAATCTTGTGTGTTGTCAGATGTTGACCATAAACAGAGCTCAGAACCACAGAAGTTTATGAAGTATCTTAGATTAGTTGAAAATAATGTGCTTCTGCTCTTCACTACTTTAGTATTGTTTTTTAGCTACTAAGAGAATCCTTTTTCTTCAATGAGCAACCTGTAACAACAATAATTCAGCCTTAACTGCATGATACAGCATCTTTCCCAAATTATTGTTCACAAACAATATAACATTTGATCTTCTCAATACAGGGTAAATTAATTCAACTTGATGCAAAGAAGCAGTAATATATTTTTCTCAATGAGCTCCTATTGAACAGGAGAAACAGTCATAGAAATAAACATTACCATCCTGCAATAAATGCCATACAAGGGTGGATGGGATACAGGTGTGGCTCACAGAAACACAGTCTGCAGTAACCTGCCACTTCAGATTTATCTTACAGGTCTTTAAAATGGGAGAAGAACTTGTGAGGAATGAGAAGATTGTTACAATAAAAATGTAAAGATCACGATAGCATTTTACTGAAAAAGTTCTCATATGATAGAAATTTTCATATAGGAAAATTTAAGCTGGGAATTTAGCTCAGTGGTTCCACCGCCTGCCTAGCAAGTGCAAGGTCCCATGTTCGATTCCTGGTTCCAAATAAAAAACAATCAAACAAAAACAAAAAAAGAAAATTTAAAATTTGAGGCTCAGAATTAATATAGATTAATTACTAAAATAAGATTTATACTGAAGTCTTTTAACCATAACATTGGTTCTTTTGCTGCTATACTAAGTTTTCAAGGATGGTTTTCTTCAGAGGTGATAGAATGAGTTTTTAATGACAGTTAATAATGTTTTCTATGTAGCAAGTCTTGTCTCCTAAAAGTCAATGCCAATAGATAGATGTTGCATATTAGAAGCTTCCCCTATTGTGACTACAAATATCAGGCATGAGTGAGGGGTGATGAATGAAGAACACAGTACTATGTTCCTGGCAGTAGAATGCAGTGCATTCTGGCTGATAATATGTAAATAGCTATAATTCTCAGTGCAGTTACCTACTGATTCTAGAATAAGCAAACCTCTAAAATATGAGATTTCTTCATTCTTTATAATTAAGATACCATTCTCCAATCTAGAGATGGAGACACACACCTGTAATTCCAGCACTCTTGGAGGCTGAGGCAGGAAGATCACAAATTTAACCCCAGCCTGAGCAACTTACCAACTTAATAGGATCCTGTCTTGAAATAAAAAACAAAAAAAGGCCTGGGGTTGTAGCTTAGTTTGAAGGACCTGGGTTCAATTTCCAGTACTGGAGAAAAAAAGAGATATCATTCTCTAATTACTTTTTTGTACCAGTCAGAATTGTTCTTCGGTCTTATTTCGGGTACCATCCAAACAGCAAGTATTATGCTTAGGCCTTATTTCAGTGCTACTTAAAAATAAAAAAATTCCGACACCATCAAACAAAGCTTCCTATGTCACGGTAATTTAGCTATGGAATATGTATGCGGAAGCTGAGTATGTATGAAACAAGATAGAGTGAAAGCCCCAGGGAATGATGTGGTGTTTTATTTTACAGCATATTGAAGTACTTTATAATACCACAGATTCGGTTACATGTTTTCTTTATGGAATGACCTATCTGCCCGATCCTCTTTCCAATATAATTCAAAAGGCACTTATTGCACATCTCAACTCTGAGCCTAGTCCCCCACAAGGCATGTGAGTAAAAGAAAAATATTCTATAATGAGCTTCATGCTGCACTCTCAAGGGGCTCTACTCTTATGGAGGAGATTTGCGAGAATGCACACAACTCCTGCAGCAAAAAGCCACTCCTAGTGAAACAGAGGGCCAAAATAAGTGGAATGGCAAATGAGTGCTACAGAAGGAGATACGGGATTGAATAGGAATTGTAATAACATTGTCATGTTCCAGCCACTTTATAAGTTAACTAAGATCCTCCCTATAATCAATTAACTGTTCTCTCTGGACAGCAACCCATCTGTGCCTCAGCTGTCAGGCCATGTAATCAGCATGTTTCATTTGACTGAGATCAGCTGGTCTACTGTGCCTATGTTATGATTTCAACCCTATTCCCTGTAATGCTTCTGTAATGCAAAATCTAATGATTTTTTTTTTTCTTTAACCTGCCTGGTCTCCAGAGGTGGTGTGTGTGATTCAGTCTCTACAGTAAGGTAAACAGTGTGGTTTGGAGGTCAGCACAGCAGGTTAGAAAGCAATAGAAACAGCTGTACAGCCAAAGAAAGTGCTTAAGATTCTTTTGAAACTCACTTTGGTCTTTAGCACCAGGAAAAAAAGAAGAAATCAAAGGTACTAGTACTCCTCACCCTTTTGATAAATATAAATTTTCATAAATTAGTCAAACACATCTCTAAGGGCTGGTTTAGTGTAATCTCAGATGAGAAACTCATATTTAATTAATTTCAGTAAAGTTAAGAGGTGGCAGATAGGCTTCCTTTATCTTTGTGTAATTGGAATCTAATTACAAAGAGGTCATTCATTCATTCATTTTCTCAGCAAATATTTGTTTAACTGTCTGAAGCCATTTTTTCAACTAAAGCAAAACTCATTAGATAGTTTTGTGTTGCATTTATTTTCTTAATTTTAGATACATGATTAACTCCCCAATGATACCCTTGGCTTAAGAGAAGATTTGAGAAATTGTACATAAAAAATGTTTGCCACCTATAACCACTTCCTAATTAGCCAAATCTGTGCATTTGGAATTAAGTGACTTTGACTTATGAAGCACTGTTACAGATTAGTTTAAATAATCTTTAAAGTTCACCAGCTAACCAATGAGCTTTGTTGGCAATAGATTATCTAACCCTCATCATGCCATACTGTTATTTAGTTGTTGTTGTTCCTGAAGATCAGTGTTTCTCACGGTGCATATCTGTAATCTCAGTTGAGATTACTCTGGGAGGCTGAGGCAGGAGGATCACCAGTTCAGGCCTAACCTGGGAAATGTAGTGACTTAGCAAAACCCTGTCTCAAAAAAAAAAAAAAAATTAGAAAGGACAAAAAAAAAAATCACTACTTCTCAAACTTGTCTGTACACTGAAATAATTTGGAAAAATTTTAAAGCTACCTATGCCTGGTATTTAGTCCCAAAGAGATTGATTTATTTGGTCTGAAATGTCTTAGTCCATTTGGACTGCCAAAAAAAAAAATTTTGACTAGGCAACTCATGAACAACAGAAATTTATTTCTCACTGCAGATTTAGTGTCTGGTGAGGACCTCAGCTGTGTCATCACATGGCAGGCAGAAGGCAAGGGAAAGCTCCCTCAAGCCTTTTGTGTGTGTGTGTGTGTACCAGGGATTGAACTCAGGACCTTGTGCTTGCAAGGCAGGTGGTGGAACCACTGAGCTAAATCCCCAGCCCCTGGAGCCTCTTTTATAAGGGTACTGATTCCACTCGTGAAAGTGGAGCCCTTGAGGCACTTAAGCATTTCCCCAAGGCCTTGTTTCTCAATATTATCACACTGGACATCAGGTTTCTATGTGTGAATGTTGAGGGGCCACCAGCATTCACTCAGGTTTTACTTAAGCACCCTCAGTGTTTCCCATGTGCACTCAGGAACACAAGCTACCACTCTGAGTTTAAAAACACAAACATCTGACAATGTCACATCTTTGCTAACAATTTGTAAGTGATTCAACAACCCTGTTAAGTACTAGATAAAATCCAGAATTGCTAATATAGTTGTCCACGCTTGCAGAGAACAAGGCCCTGTTTCCATCTTTCTCCCTCTCCAGGCCACAGGTCTTACAACATGCCACTTCTAAGTCTGACTCTCAGTCTTGAACAAACTATTCCCTTTGCTGAAACTCTCTTTCCTTACCTCTTTTTCTGGCTAATTTGTACTGATCTTTGGTTTTGTTTGAAGTGTTGCTTCTTTAAGCAGAACATTTTCAATCCTACTCCATGAATCTCATCCTAATGATGTTTCCCTGCCATAACACCTCACTTGTTCATTATATGGAAGCTGAAGGAGTTTTGAGGACAAGAACCTTGCCTACTTTTTACTGCCAGGTACCTGGCATAGTGCCTGGCACCTTATAGGAGCCCAATAACTATGTGCAATTGAATCAGTCATGGTCCAGTCAAAAAAAGAAACCACACTAAAAATTTGAACAAGGAAAATGTGTCTGCAAAATTTTTAACTAGTAAAATCTGATTAACTACTCAACAACATAACGAGGACTCATAGCAAATGTTGGGAGCAGTCATATCCCCAAGATAAAAGAAAATATTCAAAGAAAGAACTAAAACTTTGGAAGACAACCAGTTCATCCCCAAGCTGAGGTTTAGACCTTATTGGAGTGGGTACAGTTACAACCTGCTGAATACAGAAAACTTTACAGGGTTTTGTGGGCCATTGTCTGGTGGGGACTCTGCAAAAGACTACTTGTCAAGATGTTGGCAAATTCGGTGGGTGTGTTGGAAAGGAAGCTGCCCATTGGGCACTAACACTAGCTGTTCTGCAGGAAGCTTCTGCTGAGGTGCTGAAGAATTCCCCTGGAGTCCCCACTCAGTGCTGAAGGAGGAAGAGAACAGCACAGTTAATTCTTTCTCTGTTATTCCTGTGATGTCTCTCTAGCGCCCTCTATTGACAATCAAACATTGAACTAGCTCTCAAAAGTGAAATGGCTATAGGCTCCAACCTCACAATCACAAAGGAAAGCAAAGAGCAGAGGCAATCAACTAATGGCAACCGCTGTCATAGATGACATAGTTAGATGACAGATAGATATAGCTAGATAGATGATAATATCCAGTAAAAACAAAGAAAATATAAATGTTTCACAAATGTAATAACCAACAAGTTAAAAATAAAACAATAAAAGGATGAAGGCTTGATAGTCACTTCCTCCTGTTAAATTTCTTATTATGTCTTTTTTTCTATTCAGAGCTCAAACCCCAAACCATATTGATGATTGCCTTTTCATCCATCCTTATTAGAGTTGTACCTTTCTTGCTATAGATCTGAAAAGCTATTTAGCTTGAGTAAAGACAAATTTTGGATTAGGAACTTGATGGTTGTGCTTAATGGAGATATGGACACCAAATCCCTTTAATTCTACTTTTGAGGAGATCATGGTACCAATGTTGCAAGCAGTGAAAAAGCAAAAATCAGAGAAAATAAATTAATCGGGATAGTGCTTGTCATACTTTCATATCATTAAGAATGTTTGAGTGCCAAATGAAAGCTTTGATGCAAAAATTAGAGCACAGAATTGCAAGATTCTTTTGATCCTTAATCAGTGCTTCTAACTTCTGCAGAATATCAACTGTAGCAAAGAATTATTAGTCTTCTGCTGTATTTAAACTTCTGCTTTATTTAATAAGCAAACAGTGAAAACAAAATGCACATAGCAAGAAGACGATCTTTAGCTAGCGCAGGGACTGAATAAACAACCATCCATTCCTGCCTGTCTTTTCACACAATCACGTAATTGACTCAGAATCAAATGAATTTTTGAAAGCAATTAAGTTTGCTTAAAAATACTCATACATTTCTAAGAGCATAATTTTTGGAAGCCTTTCTAAGATGCAATTCAATAAGGTTTATAAATAAAAGAATAATTAATATGTAGAGAAAAAGCTTTATTCTAAAGATATAAGCCATGCAATATTAATCACCCACTCTCATTCCATAAAAAGAAACTAAATCTTCAATGCTAAGAGAATTATGGTACCATTTCATGGTAGACATTCTCACAGCCACTTAGAAAAAACGCAAGGGCAAGATTATCTCATAATCATTGTGTGTTAAGTGCGAAGAAAATGAATAACAAAATTATGTCCCTTATATACTCACAACTAAAAACTGAACAGAAGAAAGTCTGGTAGGCTTGTTAAATCATTTCTGTAGGATGATTTTACAGAAATAAAGATACCAGGTTAAAAAGGAAAGCAAATTTAAAATTAACAGATTGTCTTCCAAAAAGTTGTTACACCACATTGACTTTCCTATTGGTGGTGCGTTTTCCATCTTTTCTGCATATTCTATAACATGTGTAGATAACATTGTTGGGGAAAATAACTTTTGTATTTTGTTTCAAAACTTTCAGTTCAGTTTCTGAGATAGTATCAATATTTTGATAAATGGAATAAAGGCAGCATAACTGTCTACTTCTTTCATAGCTCCCATTTTTCCTGAGAGTAAAAGATTGTGTCTGGTATGCCAAGCTGTATTTAATTCATCCAATTGTCATATTTAGTTAAGCAAATACATACAATTTGATCATTGAGAAGCTGTGGGAAATACAAAAATAAATCAGTACTGGATTCTGCTCTTAAGTAACTTATAGTCTGATATAATTAGATAACTATGAAATTAGGTAGAGAAAGAGGGAGAACTATCCCCAGCATGGTCATGGGCCTGTAAGTGCTTAATGTGGCTTGAAAAGTGCAAGGATAGACACTCCATATGGGACCCTAGAAAATATCTTCTTAGAAATACAAAGAAAATCATGGCAGAGACTGAAAAGTCCTATGTTCTCACCTTTATTTTTGATAATGATAATCTTTCACCAATGACACTCAAATTCAAGAATATTTTCTATTACCCACCTTTCATGCATGGTACTACATTTACCAAGCAACAATCAGGTTCCAGGCTTGAGACTCGGTTCTATGAAAAAACAAAAACTTTACATGAAATAAACTTAACATAATTTATATTAAAAATGACTAATTCTTGAATTGGGCAACACTCAAAACCAGAGGCTCAGACAGCTCCACTCTAGCAGTGAAGCAGTGAGGTTTATAGGCTAAACATGGAACTAAAGAAATGACCTGATTGGCTTCAGCCAGATGTTGGCCTTATCTGGATATGATTGGATGCAAGGTCCCTAACTGTAGAACCAATCAGCTAGTTGGCTGGTTATGAGTGAATGAAGTTTAAGTCAAGACTAGTCAGTTACAAGGACTGCTTGTAAGTTTTAATTTGCCTATGTAAGGGTTCCAGGCATAGATACAATACTATGCTAGAGATCTTCAGGTTACTTTGCTTTAACACTAAGAATATCTATTTTTTTATATATTTTTAAATGATAAAATAAAATATTTATTTTTTAAAATATTTCTAAACTCAAATTATTTGCACTTATACTCTAGTAAAGAAACAAATAATACAATTCAGTGTGAGCAAATACTTAGGGTTGGAATATACAAATCATATGGTAGGTGTTATGTTTAAACTTTTAAAAACTTCCAAAATGTCCCATTAACAGATATGCAGTGATACTTCATTTTGGCTTTAATTTTCTGTATTGACCAATGATATTGAGCAACTTTTCATGTGCATATTTGTTTCTCCCTATATCCTCTTTTGTGAACAGTCTGTTCAATTCTTTGTCTTATTTGTTTATTGGGTAGTTTACTTGCCCATTATTGAATTTCAAGGATCCTTCATATATTCTGTATCAAGTTTTAAAAATATACGCTTTGCAATTATTTTCTCCTCCTCTATACCTTATCATTTCATTCTCCTAACTTGAGCACAAATATTCACAGAAGCCTTATTTATAATAGCCAAAAGATGAAAACAAAACAAATGTCCATTAATAGGGGAATGGATAAACAAACTGTGACACAGCTACACAATGTTATATTATCACCAATAAAATGGAATGAACTTTGATTTACACAGCAAGACAAATAAATCTCAAAGCTACTGGAAGAAGTAAAAGAAGCCAAACAAAAAAAGAATATATAATGATGATTTTAGTTATTCAACACTCTAAAAATCTCAAACAAGTGTATAGTGACAGAAAGGAGATGAGTGGTTGCTTGTGGAGGCCAAGGGTGGCCGGGGTTAAGGAGGAACTGGCGGAAAGGATTACAAAGGGCATAAAGAGATTTGTGTATGTATGTGTGTGGTAGGGGGAAGGTGCCCTGGTGATTGAACCCAGGGAATGCTGATTTACATTCCCACCCCCAACCTTCTAAAAACAATTTTATTTTGAGACAGAGTCTTGCTAAGTTGATCAGGTTGGCTTTGAACTCATGATCCTCCTGTGTCAGCCTCCGGGGACTTTAGCTGGGACTACAGATGGAACCACTATCCCCAAATTTTTGAAGGTGACAGATATGTTCATTATCATGAGTGTGGTGATGGCATTAGTTATAGTCATGTAAACACTTGCCAGATTGTACAATTTAGACATATATGTCAGTTACACCATGCTATTCATAAGCATTTTGAGAAATATAATATAGATTATTATAATTTACTATAGAAGATCAGAGAAAGGGCATCTAGTCTTCACTTATAGCCAAGACAGGCTTATAGAAAGAAATAGGACTCACATTGAGCCTTAAAAAAGGGACAAGACAGGAAGAATGTACATGCTACCCTTCCCATCCTGAGCAAAGCAGATCTCAAATTATTCACAGCATTCTCTCTCCTTGAGCCTACATGCCACCTTGTTCTCTTTCTTTTAAATTGGATATTTGTCTATTTAGCATTCATTCATCACAAAGCCAGCTGTATTAACATATTTGTTTCCTGTATTCTTTGTTTGATTTTTTTGTTTGTTTTGGTACCAGAATCGAACTCAGGTCTTTGCACTTGTGAGGCAGGTGGCAGAACCACTGAGCTAAATTCCTGGCCCTGTTTCCTGTATTCTTGATAATCTGACATTTGGGAGCCTTACAGATCCAAAAAAAGACTGCCCCTCCCAGGAACTGCTAATTCCTAAAGATAATAATAACAACTTGAACAAAAGTATGCCTTTCGTATGCAAAGCAACCAATCTCAAGTTTATCTCATTTTCTTCTTTCTCTAATTTTCACACACCAAGCCAATGTTTCCCCTGCTCTAAACTATTCCAATACAAGACAACTAGGAAGACCACTCCTATACCCCAAAGCCTTCAGGAAGCACTCAAACTAGCCAGTCCTATATTGTTTCCCCTGCCCTGGCTCAGTTCTCCCAAGGAAGCCCAGGAGGATCATGGCTTAAGGGCTCCTTTGCTTCTGCTTCTGCTTCTTAACCAAAATCTGCACTCCTCCTGGGGCCCTGCATGCTGAGTCTGGCCTCTGGTTTCCGGGAATTGTGGGTAACATTAAACTATTCTTTCAAAAGTGACCTCTTCGTGTAGTCACTCACCCAACCCTAAAAATTAACAGCAAGACACAGAACATCTGATGGTCATTCTCAACATACACTCTATGTAGGTGGTACTGGTCTGAAAGTAGTAAGATGAGAGGTAAAATTTACTTGTCGTCTCTGGAATACCAGTCATTCTAGTCATAAAAGTGTGCAAGGATTTGGGGATATTCTGTGTCCAATTCTGGTTCTCAATAGTTCTTTTATGGAACTGGAACTGGTTTACCACAAGATTGCAATTGTTCTTAGGATCTCATCTTAACAGCTCAAGGTGGGAATTCCCCTGCAGCTGACTGACTGGGCAGGTGCGCCAGGAGATAAAGAGTGGGGAAGAAGGACAAAGAAGTCAGGGAAGCTAGGTAAACTGCTGCCTTCTCAGCTGGAGTCTTTGTTTTACTCTGACCACACTGGGGACTCTGGGACCAAAACTGCACAGCAGAGCTCCTCTCATCTTTGCCTCTTGGATGAATCAGCCACTGGCTACGTGCTGCAGGGTTCATGTAATGGGGAGTGGATATCTATGGGCGGTGACTTTCCCAGCAAGCCAGAGATATAAGAAGAGACAGTGAGCTATTAGCAGTAAGCACACAATGAGGCTGGGAGCTGAAGTGCCAGCCTGAAAAGGGGTGTCTGGATGAACACCTAGACTTTGATCACCCTTTTGCCACTTCCTCTGCACTATAGCTTTAGAACAGGGCTCCTAAATTTAAACACCCATAGGAAAAGGCATAAAATGAACGGGATGACTGTATGCACAGAAGGCTATTTCTCTACTCAAAGGGCAAAGAGATGTATAAGAACAACAAAAAGACAGTGTTGGCCTTGGTGTCCAGGAGAATAGAAGAGCTAGGGACCGGATCACTGAGGAGCAAAATTAGCTCTGGCCTGTGTTTTCATGCAAGGATATGAGTTCAGCTTTGGTATGTCTTTCCAAATGTTTAAGAGCCATCAATCTGAGTTTTGATGTGAAGGTTCCCAATTTCTAAGCATTATACCCAATTAAAAATAATTTTACAAACACTAATTGCAAATTGACCTATGGGTAAATGATATGCAATCTCTTCTTTAGGAAAGTAGTGAAACTGTAGTTACTCTTCATAAAAAGTTTCCCACATTTTTGGAGCCCAGAATGTATAAGGTAGGCCAAAAAACAAAACAGAAAAAACCAGGCATCCCTTTTATCTATCATACTATATTATAGAAAGCTAAAAATGAAATAAAATATAAAGACAAAATAATAAAAAAGACCCAAAGCACACCAGAAATAGTCTGCTCATCCAAGAGAAAGTCATACAGCCATGCAACATAACTTTTCCATGGGCTATATGACCTCTTTGAGAATCAGATTAAAGCAATAGACTCTATTTTCAGAAATATGTGAAAGTATACACATTCAAATTTACATGCATTTCCTGGGCTCCGTGGAGCTCTTCAAACTCATGAGGAGACCTCAGTTTAAGAGCTCCTGACAAAGAAACACAAAGGAGTAAGACAGAACGGGCAAAGAAAAGAAAAGATGTATCACATAGAAGAAAGGAACTGCAGCTTCTTCCTATTCTCTTTACAAAGAAAGATGTGAACATCTGGTTACAAAATGTTGCCCCAAGTCTAAAACTCTCTGAGGACATGTCACAAATGGTGAAGATACTTTGAATGCTGCTGTCAGGTGACCATAACCTGGGGAAGTTGACTACAAAGAGGCCCCACCACTTCGGCCTCATAAGTAAAGAAAGAACATTCCAAGTCAGCATCTTAGCAGCCTGACAGATTTGGCTTCCTCATCAAGTGGCTGATTTGATGTTTATTTTATTTCCAAAAGTTAAATACATCAATTCAAATGAACTCTTTGTTAAGAGAGATTGTTCACAGTGAAAAGAGAGTGAACCCTCGCCAGGACTGTGATGTGAATTGCCCGTGTCCACTGCTGGATACCAGTGCCTTACGCAAATGTGGTTGGCAACCCTACAGGAGTCACTAGTCAATGAGAACAAAAGGTGCCACTAAGCCTGACTGTAAAACCCAGATCCAGAGGCAAGCACATCTGATACAAACTCTGCTACTCACTGGCCATATCTCTAAGCTTCTTGATTTTTTTCTTTGCCTCAATTTTCTACTCTAAAATGAAGCTATAGTAACCACAGAACAGTGAATAATTATTCAATGCAAGACACAGATCCCTGGGCAGAAAAGTGGGTGGCTTTCCCTCTATGCCAAGTAATGTGCCAAGATGTGGTTAAATCTGCTAAGAAAACAATGATGCTACCTGGTGAGTCTATAAATAGGCTGCTGCAGGACAAGTAGAATGAAGTATGCACCTGATCAGGTTATTTTACAGCACTCACTTTTTTATTTTTAGAAAAACAAAGTGTCTTCATCACTATTTGGTGTATGCTCATTGAGACCCAAACATATAGATTTTCTTGCTCTTCAATTGTGGACGCAATTTTAAATTCTGTCACTAACAGCCTTATTAACCCAGATGTTAATTTGCACAGTTCTCTGCTTAGATCAGTGTGTTT